TATATCATTATCATTTATATTTTTTATCCTGCCAATGGTTTTGTTTGTTTGTGTACCCATTTTCTTGGTTCCAGCGAATCCTCAACACATTCGGCCTCAATTCATTAACACTGCGAACGTTTGTGGAAGTATTTCAAGGTCCGTTTAAAGATGGCACAAACAACACCAGAGACTATCGCTTTTTCTCAGCTGGTATACTGTTTGTACCATTGATGGTGAACCTGACCTTTACACTAACTCGCTCCAGTTTGCTTTATCCAGTGGCCAGTGTTTGGATTCTTATCTACCTCACCTCATCTGGTGTTCCGACCTTATAAACACTCACTTCATAACTCCATCACAATTGCAATGTTAGTTGCACTACTGACACATCTTTGGGCTGGCCATCTATTCGGAAGTGATACCCCTGGAATATTACACACATAATATCACTGTCATGCAGTTCCCTTGTTTGATTCAGTCTGGATACTATCCAGAATTTAATCGGAATTCTTTATAATGTCGTACGGCTACCTATTTTGTTTATTTTGCATTGGAAGAGTACTTGTTGTTGTACCCACACCAAATTAATAAATTAATTTAGCTGCAAACTTCAATTTTGTTCCAGAGAGAAAAAGTGATGTGCAGATAGACTTTAACCACATATTACATGTATGTATTACTCTTGTTTACTGTGTGTGTACTGTAGTACCATAGAATATTCACACCTTTTCATTATCTTTTGCACTAACATCCAAACTAGTTGGTAGTACAGACTTCTAGTTTGTAATAATGCTGCATATCCTTTAGAACTCAAACGTGGGGTTTAGTGTAGTCCCTAAGGAGGGTTGGAGCATGCAAACACCAGCATGTTTTAATTCATCACTGCATGAGGCATGGTGCACTGTCAATACAGTCGTATTGCATTTTGTGCCAAGTTTGTACTTCAGTGTTTTTTAAACTGTATGGCCAATGACATTGCTTTCACAATCCCAGGGGATGCTGTCTACTGTTGTATGTAGATACCCAACATCAAGAAGTTTACATTTTGCAGTTTAGTTTAACCGTTAGGGAAAGTTATTGTGGCAAGAGTTTTTTGATGACAAAGACTAGATAGATGGCCCACGCATGTTCAAAATTACTCATGCATGCGTGTTATAGTTGCTTTTTAGCGTTATCTTGCACTGTGATGGATGTATACACAATACCCTGTACATATAGGTCCAGTGGAGGGTGTTTCAGTTGCCAGCCTTCTGTGTGTCTACCGAGACTGAAATAAGATAAGATCGCACAGTGTGCTAGAAAGGTAGATTGGGTTGGTGGGTGCTTATCAGCGGTTTAGTTGTGTCTCTGTGTTCTTCCCTCAGCCCTGCACAACCTCTACTCTCCAAGATACATTTGAGTACCAGCTCCCCAGTTCATCTCAGAAACTCAACACGACCAACGAATGCATTGTCTCAGTTCTCTTAGGACCACCCTTATGCACTACAGGTATGTGGAGGGTCTCCTAACTATAGGAGGACTTTGGTGAACATGGGTTAATGCAGGTTTATTACAATGCGTTTTTGGTGAGCGAAGCGAGCATTTCAATATTCAATATTTCGCGCATTTTAGATCATATTTAGAATCTTGTCTGTTCACCGTTACATATTATATGGGAAAAATTCTGCATTCATGCGCCTAGGTGAGCTCGCTTCACTCACCAACTTCATTATGTGGTAGTGCGCGTACAGTACAGAAATATTGCGCCATCTGGAGGATCCATACATTGTCAACAGACGTTCGAGTATGTCATTATTCGTGTCACACATCTGGGTAGAGAGGGTCTAGCAGCAGCTGGTGAGTCTCAAAGAAACATTAGTCGAAGAGAAACTACGCTTCACACAGCTTCAGATCTCTTCTCGGTCTTTCGAGCTACAAACTTTTCAGTTGCAATACTCCAACACATGTTTGACGTTATGCACTAATAACGTTCAGTTTGGATCCTGCTAGACCTCTCCCTCTGAGAACCACATACACTACTAGACTCTCTACCTCTGCACATCAATACGCTGCTCTCCCCCTGCATGAGCCTGCCCTCCCCTCATGCTCACCACATACGGACCTATCTCCCCTCTGAGCGCCACATAGGTACGCCTGCTTTCCCTCTGACGCATACATATGCCTGCGAGACCCTCTCCCTCTGCGCACTCTGCTCTCCCCTCTGCACACCGCATATGCCTTTTATTCCCTCTGCCCTCTGCGCACCACATACGCTGCTATACCCTCTACCCTCTGCGCACCGCATACGCCTGCTCTCCCCCTCTTGAGCCTGCCCTCCCCTCGACGCACCGCATATGACCCTCCCCCCTCTGCACACCACATACGACTCTCTCCCCTCTGCGTGCCACATAGGCACGCCTGCATCCCCTCTACGCACCACATATGCCTCTCCCCTATGCGCACCACATATGCCTACTAAACCCTCTCCCCTCTGCGCACCGCATACACCTGCCCACCCCTCATATGCCTGCTATACCCTCTCCCTTCTGCGCACCACATACGCCTGCTCTCCCCCTCTGCGCACTTCCCTCCCCTCTACGCACCGCATACACCTGCCATACCCTCTCCCTTCTGTGCACCGCATCAACCTGCCTTCCCCTCTTTGCACCGGATACGCCTGCTATACCCTTTCCCTTCTGCACACTTCATAAGCTTGCTCTCCCCTCTGTGCACGACATACGCCTGCTAGACCCTCTCTCCTCTGCCCCACATACGCTTACCCTCCTCTGTGACCACTGCACTGCTATGCGCCTTCTAGAGACCCCTTGACAGCTCTTTCTGGGTGGTTAGCCCTCATCAGCACAACGTCAGCGTACTACACTCTCCTCTCCAGAGTTATAAAGGCTGCCAATAAGACAATGCTTGTGGTTTGAACAAATGAGATTCATCTCCACAAGACTTGCACCTGTACACATGTACAAGCTTCTCAAGTCATTGCACTATGGTGACCAACTACATTTTCTTGTATAGATCTGTGAGGTGTTGGAAGAGCATAATGAGTTTTCAGTGCTGCTCTCTCTCAGAGCACACCCACCAGCTCTCAGGCCAAGGTATTATACACTTTCATGGACAGTGTCTGCATGTTTACTAGAAATGAAAGTCTCTTGTTCTTCTTTCCCCACAGTCTTCTGCATCCTCAGTGGTACAGAGACTAAGACAGAGAGCCACAAGTACATCCGGACTCTCAACAAGTAAAAAGCTCATGTCTTGGCTACACAGGAATAGTGAGGTCTTGCATTTGAGTTTGTGTTACACATTTTTTGCTACCTCAGTTTTAAACTTTTTATATCAACTATTTGTGGAATTCCTAGTATCAACTGTTTTGCGCACTATGTGCTCTTATGTTAGCCCTTTGTTTAAGCCCTCCGAAGCCCCCAAACTTGATTTCTCCTTTATTCTGTCGTTCTCTCCCTTACTGCTTTGCTTTGCGTACTGTTCGAAATCCTTCTGTCGTTTTTGCCTTGGCCACTCATCCTCTGACTAACAACTGAAAGATTCACTTGACTGCTTCACATGTGTGATGTTATGTAGGAGTGTCCAGAGTCAGTGCCCTATACTCTGGCCCTGCACCATGCCCGCTGTATGTCCAGCTCTTCTGAGAAGAGAGAGACTCTCTCCAAACAGGTCTGTCACACACTCTCACACACTCTCACACGCCTCCTTCCCAGGTCCTAGGGCACCTTCCTACCCAGACTCTCTCTCTCTTTCTCTTCTTGTGCGTGCACGTGCCTCTGCCCGCAGTATTCTCTACCATGACTTTGAATAATGGCAACTGAATGAGGTTCAGTCCAATTTGTTTCCTAAAAGAGAAAAAAGGAACCAGGTTGAGGATCGAACCCCGATATCTCTTGTTGTGCACGCACAGAGAATGTCTTTGTCTCTTTTGTATAAAGCATTGTTAAAGTGCTGTGTATTTATTTGCTACAGGTTGTAAGCAGTCTGGAGATGATTGTTCAGCTAGAACAGGTCTGCTCCTTGTATATCACACACTCAGTCTCAATTTTGACTACATGTGAAACTGCAGGAAAACGAGCGTATCAAATTGGACCTACAACTATTGGAAGTGAAATATGAGAAAGAGCAAAAGGTGACAGGCACTGCAACACATTACTCCCACATGTATATTTTATATTGTGGATGAGTACTTAATATAATCTCTTAGTAACGTGCCAATGCGTTCATATCCCCTTGCTGACACTAAGTGTTTGTATAATTTCCTTCCAACAGAAAGCCAAGAGACTGGAGGAAGAATCATCTCACCAGCCTTCAGGTTGTGCATCTGGTGTCCTCACTCCTGCTCAGCCCAGGGTATGACCACCTCCTCTGCTACTGTTATGCCTATAGTGTATGATGTTAGTCAGTTAATCAGCTTAGAAGTTACTGTGATGTTGTGTGTAATGTCCATTTGTTCTGTGGTGTGCATTATCAAACTACATAGACCGAGTGGTGTATCTTGGTACCATGTCCCTTTAGTTTTAGTAACAAATTGGTAGATTCCAAGTAACCCAATTTGTTGTGCTCTTGTTGGTACGTTGTATTCAATAGTCCATCCAAACATAAGAAGTCCCATGGACAACACAGCTAGTAGTTGAAACTGATTAATAGAGCTGTGTTGTATAGTGGACATACTCTGAATTCTGATGGGAATTGTGATTCGATGCATCTTGTTTTTCCCTCACAGAATTCACTAGGTGTAAACACTCAAGTACAGTCGTTGTCTGATTCTGTAAGTACTGCACTCCTGTGTGTTTATCAGTTCACATTACCTCCCACACCCTACCTCTCATGTGCAGGTTGGAAACCTTGCTCTTCTAGAAGAGGTGGGGATTCATTGCATGTACTCTGTAAAAATGTTTCTAGAATTATTTATGTGTAGGAGGTCAGTGATGAATGAGTTAGAGAAGAACTCATTAGGATACACTTTACCAAGAGGATATTACAAGTCAAAGCTGAGGTAATGTTGCAGCATCGTGGCACAGGCACACTCAACCCCAGTGTGCATTGAATTTTCCCTCAATTACTGTATGTCTCTCTCTGCAGACACAAGAAATTGATAGTAAAGCAGCTCATTACTATGCTGAGATGTGTAGTAAATTCCCAAATATTTCATAATATTATGCTCTTTCTGTTCTCTGATTCTGGTTGTATGTACACTCCAGCATGAAATTAGGCAAGCGAAATTTGAAACTTTAAACTTTACCAAACACCCCACCAAGTGGTACTGGTTTCACAGCTACTGTGTGTACAGAAATATTATGCCATAACTCTCTCCCATCTCTAGAGTCGTGCCATAATGAAGCAACTCAACCACAATGTTGCTCTCCGTGTCAAACTGACCCAGGACGTGGACACTGCCAGGGAGACCATCCAACACCTCCAGGTAGCTAACAGTCCTATATACCCAGTGTCTTCTCCTCTCACTGAGTGGGTGTGTATACTAGTCTCTACCAACCTTATCGTGTTTTTTCGTCGAGGCATTAGTGGGCATTCTCAAAATTCCGAAAACGCAAAATTTTTTACCATGTGAAAAATCTTTTATATATGTGTGTGTTCACAACACAGCAAAAATACTTAATCGAAAATAAACGCTACACAGTATGTACTCAAGTTAAGTCCAACGTTCTGCATGAAACACAAAGCCTGAAATGAATAATTCTTCCCGTCCGAGACTTGGTGTTGTGTGTACAATTGTGCAGGACCAGCTAGCCACCACTTCCAGCAGCTACGAGAAGCAGTTGAGTACCATGTCGGACCACCTCTGTGAGCTCAACGACAAGATGATGAGACAGAGTGAGGAGCTGGAGGTGCTCAGGAGAAACAAGGTCCACTATACTCAACCCCTATCTATAGTACACATGTACAATTGCATGCCCCAAAGCTTGTGTACATTCTATTATGTCAGCAAGAGGTAAAAGCAAACAAATCAACTACACCCAGGGCAACTCAGAAAAAAGGAAAGCTGGCTAGGTGGTAGTTACACTGGGGTCTAGGTGAGCGCTCTACCAACTGAGCTACCAGGGCAACTCAGCTGGTAGAGGTTCGAATCTTCAACACAATACAAGACAAGGCAAACCTCAAACCACTCACAGTAGTATGAACAATAGCTAGCCCCAATGTATACCTGGCATATAAGTGAATTTTGATTTGTTGTCAAAGTACATATATATACCTCCTACCTACCTGTAGATATGTTCAAATACAAGGTATGTACATAATACTATCGGGTCACTCCCTTAATAGTCACGTTTTTGCTCGTTTAGGGTAAAAGATGGGGCAAGTAGCCAAAGGCACAGAAACTGGTTATTTATTACTTTTTGAACTTTGAATGGATCTTTTGTTTTGTGTATTTAAAATTTTATATATTATTGTGATGTTGATCACATGTAAATCCAAACATCTATTCCCTAGTGATTTTAGTGTGGAATGGTATAAAATGACTGAGCTATAATATACATATGTTGCTATAGAGTGGGAGTAGCTGTAGTGTTTCTTGGTAAGATAAGGAGGACCACTCCATTCAGGGGGACATCTGCCGCTGCACTGTGCGCTATACGTAGTGGTACCTGAGGGGGGAATACCATCCATCTTAACACACACACTATAATTAATACATACCTACTGGGTGGCCTTACAATAGCTAGTGTACATACCAAATTAACATTATATACGCTGGTCCATGCATGCACCGCTAAGAAACTCTGCTCTAGCCATACACATTTGAAGTGATGCTAGGTTCCAAATTGAGGCAGCAGGGGATTTTACCTCCGTCTTGGGTGATAGGACAAAGGTATAGTGATGCAGAATTGAAACAAGAGCCATTTTCATCTGGGCCAGGGCAAACTTTGCCCCGAGACACACGTGAGGTCCTGCACCGAATGGCATGTGGGTCATGGCTTCTCGCTTCATCCGCTCCTCATTGCTGAACCTGCATGAATTGTGGGGAGCCCCGTTACTAATGAATGAGCAAAACTGGACTTGTGGCATAGAGCACCAGAACTTTGGCCTATAAGTGGGAGTTTAATGATGGCTGAAGATACAACCTTGACGCAAGGCAAGTCAAATGCAACATCATTAGCTATCCATTAGTGTTGCCATAATGCTATAACGTAATACAATTACGGAATGTGGCCATTTACAATTGTGTATGATACACGGTTACACTGGGCAGTGCTGTATGAAACATGGCTACACTGGAAATGTTGATGATGTCATCATTGCCATACCTGCCAGGGTCAAATCTGTATGGCTGTGGCCAGAGGTCTGGGCTCTTGTGCACTAGGAATGTCGGTATGTACACGTCTGCTCCCTTTGGCAGAGTGTGTCTCTCCAGCTCAATATCTGCTTCACAGTGACGAATAATCCTGTAATCAGTGGACACACTTAACTCAATTGTACATGTAGCTGTGAGCCCTTTAGAAGCCCCCCCCCTCTCGCTCCTGCCCCACTCTCCGCGATGGGAGTGTGAGAGCGTCCATGTGAAAGCGTGAGCAGTTTTGCATGCAATCATCCATAGGTGAGAACAGTTCTATACAAAAGTCTCGTTGCAAACTGGTGATTAGCTACATGCTCACAATGTAATCACTATCCACGAAAGTGCACTGTAGTCACTCATTCGTTATGAAAGGACGTGTCTCTATACTCCAACACTGTTAGCTAGACCACCATTATCATGCACCAATATGCATGGGTCCTTAGAACCAACCTGCATCTTAATACTAATGGGCCGCATTGCTAGAGGTAATTACACAGTGCCATGTAGTAGATTACATTGGTGTTGGTGGGCGGAGTCTGAGTGTTTCCTGGATGACTGAGTCAAGGTAAGGAAGGCGAAGACTTGCATCGTACAGTGACTTCTTCTGTTTGGAAACGAAAGGAAGTCAACCACACACCGATTTGTCACCAAATGCAGCTAGTATGACAGGGGAACACACGCCCATAGAAATGTATTGTCAACAAAGCTACACACCAGCAGTATCCTTTTACATGCCTATCATTCACACAAGGAGGAAAAAGAGTTAGGCAGTTTGTGGGCATGTACAGTGGAACCTCTGAACAGGCAGGGGACACTATAGGGCCAATGATTTTGTCCCTTGTAGAGAGGTTATATATCCCTATCTCGGAGGTCAAATAATGTACTAAAGTATTAGCATGGGGTTGAAACAAGTGTCCTTTGTAGAGAGGTTGTCCCTATATATCTCGGAGGGTCCCTTATTAGAGGTTCCACTGTATTTATATAGCTAGAGATATAATACTGACTGTTCTCTTGTTGAAGAGAGCATCAATCTCTTCCTGGACTCTGTCCTGGACCCGAGTGTTAACGGCCAGTTGGTAGGAGACAGATGCCAGACCGGCAGCCGTCGTCTCCTGACCGGATATCAGGAACTCTATTGCCTGACACACCACCTGCTGGTCCGAGAGCTTTTCCTCCTCATCATCATCACCAGCAGCAGCAGTATTGCATTCTCCATTATAGCTACTGAGACTAGTCTCCAATAGTAGCTGGAGTATGTCCTGTTGGACACATTACGTAACTTAAGAGGGGATATTTTATAGGATACAGGTTAGCATAACAACTTGTGTACACATGTGGTGGGGGCGTGCTTGTATCACAACAGTATATAGATGCTACATGATGTGTCACAACAGAAGCTACACAATGTGTAGTAGTCTACCAAACTGACCTGAGGGGGAGAGGCAAGCGCCTTTCTTGCCTCCACCAGTCTGCAGCCAGCCTCTTTGAGATGCCGGTGAGCTCTAGTAACAGCCAGTCGACCTGCCAGTCGAACCAGCAGTGGTCTTGCCAGTGGGAAGTGAGCTGGGGTGACAGAACACCTGTGTTAAACTGCACCTCTATGCCGAGATGCCGATGTGGCTCCACAGACCAAACTTTAATTAACACACTAACAAGAACAGCTTGATTACACAGCACTGTATTAACTTATGGTCATTATGATACGGCATACATCTAAGTATAGAGACTTCCATTGGCCAACAATGATGTTTCTTGTATGCAGCTATCTTCATTATGAAGGCATACGTACATCTATCTAGCTACAACTATAAAGAGCTTTTCATTGGTCGCAGTGGCTGTAGCTATTCAAACTCACAGAGAAAGACTGTCAGTTCTTCTGCACTGCTGCTCATGCAGTCGTTGAATTTGGCAATGAAGTCATTGGTGGCCACAAGGAGCTCGCTACCTTCACCCACACTCTGGCCCTCCGCACTCTCTCCAAATGCACTGGCTACGATGGTCTCCATTGTGAAATCCACATACAATCTATAGTTAGCACATGAGTATCAATGTGCACCACTAAATGATAGTCGGTATTTTACGCATACTTGTGCACATCGACTGTAGTTTGGGACTCTGCAACCTTGGCTATCTTATGCACTAGTCTGGTGCAGCCTTCACTCACCACAGGAGCCATCTGCATAAATAATATTGAGCCATGCAAAACACACGCACTTCAATCAATGGATTTGATGTAGCTAGTGAGTATGCAGTGTTGATACCTGTCTGGTGTTAAGAGGCATGGAAACAGGAGAGAGAGCCTCTCTGCAGCTCCTCCACTGAGTCCCAGATGCAAGTCTGAGGCTGTTTGTGGCCCCCAGGGAGTCCAGTATTAGTCGATTCCATGCCTGTTATTGTTTGAATAATGTGCTCATTCCTGGGTAGCTTGTGCTAAATTCTTTTGCTAATAACCCTTGCAAGGAAGTTACAGGCTGTTCACCAACATCAACACAAGCCTAACGAGCCAGACATTACTGGCTATAGGAGATGAAATACACAGTTCTGCCACTTAATGCACAACACTTCCTTGCCATGCCATGGTGAACAGGTAAATGAGGCATTATCTTACTGTGTACGGTCCTCCACTGCCAAGATTGTCATTGTTGTGTATCAGAATCTCTTCTATCAGGAGCCTGTCACAGACAACCACATTGAACTTTACTCCCCACATAGAACCTGTGGAAGACAGTAAGGTTTACTACTACAGAGCTGCATTAGAAGCACCAACCCAAAGAAAGATCCGTATTTCTTTTGTCCTTCGGCAATAAAGCTGTTCATCTTCTGCAGCAGAAAAAGAACGTTGATTGCGCACGCGCGAGATGAGCAATAACCATTTTCTTGATGTCAGAGTAGCTCCCCCAGAAAGGCTCCGGTTTAGGACCTTTGATGCCGTACTGCTTGTGGACGTGATAAGGAGCGTAGAGTATCCTGCACGAATTTTGATGTAACAGGCGTTCTCTAGTAGTATGCTAGTCTACATTGCTACCCAGCCTCCTTGTTGCCAACGTTAGCTTACCGGTAGAAGAGGTAGAGGGCCAGTGAAGTTAGCATGCACAGCATGGCTCCCAGGGAGGAGAAGGCTGCGCCCATGAAGATGGCCATTTCTGCTTCGGTGTGTTACCAAGTTCTCACTGAGCTCAGCTCGCTTTTATGTTAGCGGCGTAGTCGAGATCGTGTTTCGTCGTCGGAATGCGCAAAACAACACGTAAGTTGCCATGTTTATGATCTCAGCCGAGCGAACTCCTGTATAGCTATAACTATCCAATTCCCGGTAAGCACAGTTCATGAATACTTTTTATTGCTGAACTATGGAGAGATGGACCACTAAGTAAGCACTACATCTGTACTTGCTTTTTTCTCCTTTCCATGAGTTCTTCATGTGTGTTAACTTATACCATATTCTTTGCAATGCAATGCCTATACGCTCCTGACTTCTGTTTAACATTTATAGCCAGTGTAAAACTTTCGAAGGAGAAGTGTTTCACAAGCGGTTTATGAGACGCCCGCAGAAGGTTTTCTCCGTGAAACATTGTGGGTGGCAACATTATGGAGGAACCAGCAATCCATGTACCGTAATTCACATTTTGTATATTATATTGTAACCAGAATGGTGCCTCCGCTCTGATGGAAGAGGAACAACAAGTAAACAGCGAAAGACATCCATAACCCACCTTTGTTACTTTCTGTGTGCCTCCATTGTTGATTCAGAATAACAATTCTACTAAATGAAGAAAATGATGACACAAAAATGGCGAAATTGCATATGAGGAATTCTAATGTGGAAAACTGCTAGGCACATGAGCTTTTAGCGCAAGTGTATAGCTGGAGATGAGCTTTGAGTTCTTTGCTGATGTGTTTTAAAAACTGATAGCTACAGTGTTCTTGCTGAGTTCTGGAGACGCTATTGTAGTCACATGTGATTTGACATGCTCTTACCTTCGCGCGCATGCCGCAGCGAAGGTATATATATATCGGTAGTTAACCCTCTGGGCGCGCATGCGCAGGGAGGGTCTGTCAGTTTACCCTCGGCGCGCATGCGCAGCGAGGGTTACTGTAGTCGGGTTCTGTGTGTCTGTCTGTTACTCGACATCTCACTTCTGGAGTGTTTGTTCATCTCACAAACGATACGACCTACTCAACGGACAACGAAGGTCAGAATGTTGTGGGGTTTTCTCTGAAAATGCTCCGTTGCAAAGCTAGAGCATTGTACCGGTAGTCGCCATTTATCGCTGGCCACAATTTGTCATGTGACATGTCAAAGGTCTCATAATAGAGTTATGGCAATGAGTTACTGGGCAATACGAATGCTGAGACAAGTAGCTACAGATTTTAGGAGCTTTGAAGATGGCAGAATTGCTCAAGATGCTGGATGGTTTTATCATCAACCTTCAAATTGCTCATCGAGAACAGGACATACCTCCCAGATAGGGAGTATGCCTCCTATTACAGCCTAGATACATAATATGATTACAGGACATGCCTCCAAACGGAGAGCATGCATCCAATCTTGAAGTATGCTACAAAATCTACGACTCCTATGCAAAAGACATGACTCCTATTATGCTAGAGTGTGCATCCGATTGCAAAGTAGCCACCTCCCCGATTCATGAGAGGTGTAATTTTGCCACTGATTACACCTCATAAGAAACTGGCTCCGTCAACGACTCATGGCCCAGTCCATGTATCATACATCAACGCTACAACGCACGCGTTTTTTGAGCCGAGGGTTTGCACTTTAGTGCTTTTCATTACACATAATAACTTAACTGCACACAGAGTCAAGTACATGTAACTTAGGGAAAAAATATCCTAGGTCTGCAGCTATGGTAATTTGAACTGCATTCTTTACATTGCTAAACACTCCACTGTTAGTGACACTTGGGTGTATCTTTTCAACCTTGTCAGATGTACCCATAGTCTCTTCCATGATTATTTTAACATCAGCTTTTAGGTCTTGTAGCTCCTCATTAACATGGGATAGTCCCTCCTTAAGCTCCGAAACGTCTGTTTCCAGCACATCCGAAATTTTACCCAGAGTTTGTTTAATGATGTAAATGTCATTTTCCAGCTTGCGATTTTTCTCAGATATGACCCTTTCCAGTGAATGCCTCTTCTCAATTTCATTGTATAGCCAGCACACCAGAACCAATGTCACAAGTGCACATATTTTAAGGTCAACTTTGACAGTGATAGTGGGCATTGGTGATCAAATCAGCAAAAACTGCACAATGTAAATGAAACTTCTTGAACTTGAATTTTTTAAAGCAAAAACAAACTCATTCCAGACAGGATATGCTAAAAACCTAACTCCTTACGTTATCAAAAAGTGGAGGAAATTCAACTCGAGGGACTACTTCACTTTCAAAATTCACAGCTATGGTGAAGTTATTCAAGAGGACCAGTTCATTGCTCTGTATGCCAATCTAACCTCCACAGTCACACCCCTGTCTGAAGAGTATTTGCACTCTCCACCTATAGTATAGAATGGTTGATTGCGGCCTGTCTTTACTTACACTGCTTGGTATAAAAATACCCTTGACACACATGCGCGAGGCCCGCTATAAAACTGTGCACTAAAATTAAAAACCTTATGGATCCAAGCAGTCTACGAACTGGGACAATGACAAGCACTGGAGCTAGGACTGGATTAGCTACAAGTCCCTTGTCCAAACAGATTTTCAGCAAGAATCTGTCACATTGCTTTTTTCCTCTGCTTTCAATGAGTTCATTATAGTGTTATAGCTTTCCGCGTAATTCACATTTGAATTGTAACCAGAATGGGAAGTTTCTCTTCCCAAGAGGAACAAGTTAAACAGCGAAAGAAAGTAATTCAAACCACCTTTGTTGCTTTCTGTATGTCTCTATTGTTGATGCAGAATAATGATTGTGAGTTACAAACACATAAAGGTGGGAGTAACAGGGGGTGCATGTAGAGGGAGAACACTGAATCATGTGCAGCATGTGTAGCTATAAGGCTAAAAGTGATTATGGTGCATGCTGACTGCGTCCCTGAGCAATCGTTTCTACTGAAATGATCCTTTAATAAGAGAATCTGTACCACCTTAGCAGAGAGGCAAGCCAATTTCTGCCAACGGTGTTAGCTATTGTACTCACAAAAGGCGGCAAATGATTGTTTGCTAATGTACCATCACTTCTGAAGTATCTCATGTACATTAGTATTGTGAATAGGTTTGTGTGCTTCCGAACGAGAGTAACCCTGCCCTTTCAGAACTGTCAGAGCTTCTTACGGGGTAAAGCTAGGTTCACATACATTGCCCCCGTCGCACCGTGCCGTGAGGATCCATCGCGGCAGGACGCGACGGGGCAATGCGACTTCTGAACCAATCACAACGCGGGCTTCATTGATCATTACCAATACCCCCTCCCCCTAGTAAGTATGAGACAACTGTTGCCTACCTCAGTATCTGATCAACTGGTGCCTACCTCCGACTCCAGTCAACTGGTGGCCACCTCAGTTACTGACAATGGGAACAGCTGCCAACCGTCCCGGAAATTGACAGTGTGTCCGGGTCGAGTTCTTTGAGTTCTTTTTATATAGTGTTATAGCTTTCCGCGTAATTCACATTTGAATTGTAACCAGAATGGAAAGTCATTCATAACCACCTTTGTTGCTTTCTGTATGTCTCTATTGTTGATGTAGAATTATGTGAGTTAAAGGCGGGAGTAACAGGGGGTGCATGTAGAGGGAGAACACTGAATCATGTGCAGCATGTGTAGCTATAAGGCTAAAAGTGATTATGGTGCATGCTGACTGCGTCCCTGAGCAATCGTTTTTACTGAAATGAAAAGAATCTGTATATACCACCTTAGCAGAGGTGTTAGCTATTGTATATACTCACAAAAGGCGGGCAAATGATTGTTTGCTAATGTATATACCATCACTTCTGAAGTATTTTTATCTCATGTACATTAGTACAGTGGGTCCCAGTTAATATCAACCCACCGTGCATCCAAAAAATATGATAATATGCGGGATATTCTACAATGCGGGTGTGTATACCGTGTACACTGCGGGTGTGTATACTGTGTATCGGTATGATATTATGTGGACCCACGACTGTATTGTGGTTTGTGTGCTTCCCAACTTCGAGTTACCCTGCCCCTTCAGAACTATCAGAGCTTCACTCTAGTGCTTACGGGGTAAAGCTAGGTTCACCATACATTGCCCCGTCGCGCACCGTGCCGGGTTGGCGCGCCGCGAGGATCTGCGGCAGACGCACGCGGCACGGCTCTCATACCCATCCCAACGAGGGCTTCATTCATCATTACAAAGCCCCCACCCCGTAAGTATGAGACTGTTGCCTACCTCAGTTTCTGATCAACTGAATCCTATACCTCCGACTCCAGTCACCGGTTTAACTCTTTCATATGGAACGCCAAATGCATATAGCGCTCGTTGCGTATGGAACGCCCTTTCCGCCAAGAGTAAGGGCTCTCCGCTTGTCAAAAAGCGATTTCAAATCGATCACGTACTCGATTTTTGGGGGAAATCGTTCTCTAAATCGATCTTTTACTCGATTTTCATTGGTAAATCGTTGTCTATTTACTCGCGTTAGCTTCAAGAAGCGCGTGTGTTTGACGTATTACCGGTCCTAAAGACGTCATAGTCCTAGTATCCGAGCTTCTCGTTCGTGATGCCCAGCCCACTAAAAATCCGCGGACTAAGGATGCAAATGACGTTGATTGGCCGTTTTGCGATCTGATTGGAGATCGAGATCTAAGACAGAGAAAACGCGTGCCCTCGCGGGAAAAGGGGCGTTCACACGAAGTCGAGACACCATCAGATCACAGACTGTCCAAATCAATCAATGTCGCGTGCATCCGCAGTCCGCGGAGTTTTGTAGCGGCATCACAGACTGTAGTGTTCGCGAGATCGATTACGAAAAATCGATTAGAGCAAAAAATAGTGTGAAGATCGATGTTTTCTCCCTCCCCCCACAAAATCGAGTACGTGATCGATTTAGAGTCAATTTTTGACCAAAATGTATGCAGCCCGAACATCGCGGGCAAATCCCAAGTTGGGTCGCTCCCGCTCGCCAACAATGTTCAACATTTCCACTAGTAATAGGCTGGGATGGCTCGTGCAGATGGTGTTCTCGCTCCTTCTCTCGCCAAAATTGCCAACCTAGTCGTACGTTCGAGCGGATTTTTCTATTATTATTATCGTTGGATTATGTTGTGTAGTGCGCATTGCGCGGCCTCTTACGCGCTACAAGCATGCGATGCAACCATCGGTGACTGACCGAGGCTGTACCCTCTTCCCAATCTTCATGGTTCGAAGGTGCAACTTCAAAGTAAGAGCTAAGATTGCTCGTGCAGATACTGCTGCATGCCAGCTGCCTAGTGGCCACGACTGAAAGCGAAGTAAGTACCGTCTCGGCTCAACCGAGTCACCAGTTCTGTCTGCCAATGACAGTATGCATGGACGACGGCGACAGGTAGCTCTGTCTTGCTTCACACGAAAGAAAGCTGTGCGCTCCGGTACGTATCAGCCCATGCAGCGCCGAACTACAATCGCTGGCAAATCCCAAGTTGGATCGCTTCTTCCGCTCCTGCCAACATGTTCACATCATCCCTCCACTAGTTGGCGAGCGGGAGCGAGCCAACCTAGTCGTCGTGCGAGCGCGATTTTTCTGTTTCTCTATCGTCCTTGTCGTACGTACCAGTTCCAAGTACA